TGACTACAACTACAGTATTTTTATATCCATGTTAGTTATAGCCTGGGCAGTCAGCAATGCATCGTTAACGGAGAGCGGTTTTTCAGTTGATTGTTGAAATAATTCGCATTTGGTTTGATTTTACATTAATATCAGTGCTATCTGATAGGTCAGACTCGCGCCACGTTCTCATCCAATCAGAAGTAAAACTAAAACCAATCGTGACTCATTCACAAACGTTTTCTTGCCCTTCGCACGCTCAACAAACTTGCCTCGAGTTTTAATTGGTTCATTGGATTGTCTGTGTCCCTTGTGATAGCTAGAGTCAATTCTTTGGGTTTGATTCTACGACACTATTGAAAACCGATCTATGACCAACTAAAACGATTGTAGAAGTTCAGTGGAACCACGCCTTGCAACAGTCCTGTTCTTACCTAGTATTAACCGCGCTTTTTTGGCCCAAAGAAAACGCTTAGTCAATCATTTTATTATTTTAAGAACTCAGCTTTAAAAGTACCAGTCCCGAATTTCATCGCTCAGAGGTAGCCGTTTTGGTAGCCTCTCACTGTACTATAATTCGTTTTGCAGAGAACGTAATAGCACGGCGACCGCTCAAATGTACCTCAGACTCTACAGAAGTTCTTGGGAAACACTGCTGCAGTTACAGGAAGCTTTTGAAAATGGAACTTTGTTGAAATCGCGCATTGAAATTCTCGACTGCTCAGCCAATGATGATTGTAAGTGTCTATAAAGATATCTTCCTACAGTAGGTGATCGAGCAGTAACCTGTTATCGCTTGCAGTCAGTGTCTCTGTAAGGTCATCTCCGTGTTAATTTGGTCTTCGGTTGAGAACCAACTTGCTCGTATGCATTCAGTATCGAACTTACGGAGTTTTGAGCAACATTGGTAGAAGTCATGTATTGCATGCCGTGCATGTCCATATATCTTAATCTGTACAGAAGTAAATTTAAAAGGCTATGAATAATTGCATCCTTTTGGGGTTTTTGTTATTCTTTATATCCTCGTAATATCTTCTGGCGCTTAGGTCTACAATTTCGGTGCGACAACGAGAAAGCTCAGTTTTAACTACTTGAGAACAAAGATGTACTTCAAGTTCGTTGTAACTAATCCGTCCTCAGCAACCTTCCCTTATCCAGGTTATCCCTTTCCAAATATAAGCCTTCCTGTAAAAAGCCCGCCGGGAGAAACATATCCGACAAGGAGCCCACCAAAGAGTCTTTGAACGAACATAACCTTGGAGCTTGTTATTGAAATTTACACAGCATTTGTTTGTCCTACACTTAATTGCTCTTGAACCCAATTTGTCACAAGCGTGTTTTTGTTTTGTTTTTTTGCAGCATTCTGTCATGTACCCACTATTGAAGCAGCAACTAGCGGGCCTTACAGACTTCGCCTACAAGTCACCCACCTTGACATAGAAGACACCAGTATTTTATTCGCCTACAAGATCATCTATCGCCAACTGGGGAGCCCGTCCTGGAACGTTAAAATTAGTCGAAGAAGTTTATTTTCGCCAAGAATTAATCTCATCATGAGTTTCCTTAAACCGTACAGAAATTATACGGTGCGAGTATTTCCTTACAGTCTTCTCGGGGACAGACTCGGAAGCAAGCTCAGAATGTTTCAAACCACAGAGAAAGGTGAGCAAGGAGTTTTTTTAAATTGTATTATTCAGTCATAATGTACATCTACTTAGTCACTCTATTCTCCATTTTCCCAGAATTCACTCTGTTTGCTCCCCAAATCAACTTATGTCGTGAAATGCTCTTGGGAATATGCAGACCTCGAAAGCCGGCTGATGTCGTTCCTTGAGGTTGAATAGGCCTAGAAAAGGAATACATATTAGCCTTGCCAGTCCACATTTAAAGAAAACTGCGCTCACCGCGAGAGCAGAAAAAGCGAAATATTTGTAACTTCTCGAGAATAGGTTCTCCTGTTTTCTGTT